GCTGATCAACCCAAAGTCATTGAATTCAAAGGGTTTTTTATCAGATCTTTAAAGATCATCTTCAGTAAAGTTCATGTCAATAGTAGAATTTCTTTGAGAATCAGTGGCTCACTGTATACCGGGGGTAATGACATTATGACTAGTATGGGGAGACACTTCTGATTTTTCTGACTTCTGTGATGCCAGTTCTCCATCTGGCCTGTGAAGCAGAAATGAAGATGTACCTTATTTTCCCTTCGTGCAAGCAGACCTGAAGCTTGCATGCCCAAAAGCTTCTCTGATTTTTTCCTAATTGCAGTAATGAATGATCTAATAAAAAAATTTACCTCTAACAAAAACTTCTTAGATTATCACAACTGCAGCAGTATCACCACCAGTGATTATAGAGTTTGATTAAATTAAATTTGGTTTCTTCCTTACTTGCTGTCGGGTGGATGTAAAAGATGGATATTGGAATTAATCAAATGAAGGAATTGGTGAATATATATTTCTTTTTGTATGTCTTTATCTGACCTGTAACAGGGAAAGCTTTTAAATCTTGGCCTAGCTGTGGCTGCATAAGATTATGATTGCTTAGATGTGGCATCTACTAACACTTATTAAACTATCAAAAAACTGCAACAATACTTTGTGTATGAGAGAGAGAGAGATTTTGCAGGTTGATTTGTATGCTTCCTATCTACAGTGACCCTAAGACTGATGTGACATATTGAAATTGCTGAACTATAGAGGAAGGATATCATACAGTTGTTTTCCATGTCAATCTGTATGAACAAAGCAAATAGCCTGTACGAAAAAGAAAACTCACTTTTTTTCAGGCCACTTAACAGTAGTACAGTGTTTTAAAGCCAAATCTGGAAAATGGTACAGTCAAACCACTAATTTTATTTATTTTTCTGATATCAATGCCACGCTTACTTTTGATATCAAACCCCCTTCCCGCTTGCTTAAATATTGTGATATGGAATATTGACTAATCACTCAGGCAAAAGGATGACACAGGTTGATAATCTGCTGAAATATTATGTGCTTTCCCTTGCAGGTGTGATTACTAAAAAAAGTAGTTCCATTATAGTTTTAATGTAATTACTCATATGATTAAGGTTTACATGAATAAAGAGTACTTATGTGACTTTTTTGAAAGATGGGGTCAGTATATTTCGTATGAGACATCTTGCTGATTATACCCAAGATGACAAAGATGCCATAAGCCAGTATAATATTGAATGTAGTTTGGATTGAAATTCATGACTAAAAGACATTTCCACTGATTTCCTTGTTGCTGATCTGTTGCTTTTTGTTTCAACTAAAGCTTTGATTTTGTGAAGAGCTTTAAAAAACTGTGCAGAAACATGCAAACAAAGCTTTGCACACTTTAAATAATCTCTCTGATCACAGAGGAATTACCTGGAATATACTAAAATAAGATAAAGACATTGCATGTGAGACTGCAGACCCGCAGTACATGCAAGCTGATGTAGAAACTGGTTTCCACAGAAGAAGGTGATGGTGCTCCCCATCTCTGTGCCCAAGGCTGCATGCTCCTGCTGCTGCTCTCTGGCTGAGACTACTTCTCCATAGTCCCTGCATCCAGCCAGTTGTAGGAGCTTAACCTGCAAAGAACTAACCCTACAAGAAAATGTGGATATTCGTTTGCCAGTCTAGATCTCTGGCTTACCATAGGGACCCTCAAAGGGCAGTGTTAATGCAAGCTAGGGATGAAAAGTGTGGGAAAAGGGGCAGGCATTCTCCTTTTTTAGTAGCTATTATTGATTTAGTGGTATCACCCAAATACTGTACCTGCATCTTTGCAGAGATCATATAATAGAGCTTCGCTTTGGACATCTTTTTTTCATTCTGCGTTTGTACAGTGGCTACTGTGATGACAGGGAGCCTGGGGCCTGAGGACAGATAGAGTCTATGACTTAATTTCATGTAGTCCATGGCAACACGATCTTTTCCTCATTGTTAATGGCCAGTGTATATGTTAATGCATGACCTACTCAACTTTCAGCAAAGACGACATTCAAATGGCCTAGCAGATAGGTACCAGGACTGAACATGAATGTTTAAGTGGCAGTGTTAAGAAATGGTGATCAGATCTTCTGAATACTGGAATTCAGAAGACCGCTTTTCTTTGATTTAACGTTAGATTTGTGTATAACACTGTATCTATGCTAAATGCATTGTATTCATATTTGTGAGTTGCAAAATACTAATCTTGAATAATGCCTTCCTTTCCAGACCTTCTGGTCTGCAACAAATAAAGCTGTAAGGGCCATAATTTATTGACAGATGCACTGTGCGTATATGGCAGAAACTTCATTAACTTGAAGGAAAGAAATTTAAAGCTGTCATGAATGAACAAGAAGAGATAGAAACTCTGTGCATTTAAACATTTTTTCTGTATATTTAAACCTGTTCCTTTAAGCACATTCAATCTGGTATAAAATAAGGAACAATAATTACTTAGCTTTTCTTTTTTTTTTTTTTTTCCTGGAACATAGTTGCAAACACTTAAGTTTTCAGTGTACCAATATCATACTGATTTCTTTGATAGCCATTGACCACTTCACTACACGAAAAATGCTATAAAAGTGACAGGATAATTACATTACATTACCATTACATTATATTGCCATTAATGGACGAGATTTTTCCAAGTTGTGCTAATATTACAGAGTTACATCTTCTGGAACTATTATAAGTAACTATTGGAGAAATTGCACAGTCTGTACACATAGATGCCCCTGAGTCTCTTTCTTCAGTCCTTTTTCACGTTGATTTCAGTAAGGGTTACTTGCATTAGTAGAGATTGCAGGATTGAGTGTTTGCAGTGGTTTTGAATAATGAATTTCTTTAGGATTCCAGAAATGACATTCAATTCCTCAAATATTTGCTGCAAAGTAAGCAGCATACTTTGAAGTCTGTGCTAGAAGAAGAAACAAACCCAAAATGTGAATCTCATGAAGCGCTATCTCATTTTGGAATGGTTCAGTGGTTTAATGAGGTTAATTTGTATTACGTTGTGGGAAATCCTTTATCTACTGTATAGAGGCTTTCATTTCACATGAATGTGACAGATATTGTACTTACTGCACTGGAACGTAATTATTTGATAGCATAAGGAGCTGAAATCGCTACATTTCCTCTCAAGGAATATTCATAGCATACTCTAGATGGTGAATAGAAACTAGAGGACAGTTGGCCTAGATTTTCAATGTCTGCGATATCTTAGTATAGTTTTCTGGGTTGTTTTATTATTATATCTAGAAAACTTCAAAGGAGCTTTATTAAAGATTCCCAAAATGCTGTCAATAGTATGCCATTTTTTTGGTTCCATCCCATTTTTCATGTCTTCACCCTTTGAAATGTTTTACCCTACTGTACATGACTGCAAGTGGCCATTTCATTTAGTTAGACTGTTTTCCCGTGGAAGTCTTAAAATGCCTGATTTTCTCTCCCTAATTACTACAAAGTGAGACTTTCAAAAGTTTTGTTTCAGTATGAAGTTTTCCCTCAAAGCATTTTACAGCAGCTCTTTTTAACCGTCTTCCATTCCAGATGGCTATAGGAGCACATAATTAGTACTTTATTTTCTCTTAGCAGGTGTATTATGGCATTTCTAGAGACCTGGTGGAGCTGTGTAAAGCTATTTAATAAGAGATTGAAGAGACAAAATTTCAGGATCAGGGAGACGGATGAGAATACAAATAAGGACTGAAAACTAATACAGAGAAAAATTAAGTGAGAACAAGTTCACAGCCTACCACTAAATTTACTTTCTTTTGTAGATTCAGTGTCTATTTTGTTATATACCTCTCATAACATGCAAATCAGTGAATTTGTGTTAGCATGTGTGGGTATAAAATGAATAGTTGCCTATCAAAATAAAAATTAATGCAAATTTACAAAAGCAGAATCTATTTGTTCTAGTATATGTTTAATATAAGAAATATAACCTAGGATCGTTTTTACCATATTAACAAATAAAGATACCTTAAAAAATTCTAAAAGTTGTATTGAGAAAAATGAATGCAATTATTTAAATTGTGTTATTGGAAAAACAACCTGTGTAACTGTTTGGAATATAAATGAAAGTAATTTTTATAACAGAAAGCACTGATGACTGTAAAAATGTTTATTTAGTCTCCCTCGAAGGTATGAAGATATCAGATACTGCAAAGTTCAGACAGATAATACGAACTGCTTTCCTCTTCATCTAGTGAATTAAAAGAGCTTAATAGTAAAAAAACCTCATTTTTATGCAAAAGGAGAATTTTTTTCTCCTAGGTTTCTGATTTATGTATCACATTTCAGTGTATCACAGTGTGACAGGTTGTGGGTTAAATGGTCACATTGTGTTATATCATTCCAGCTGTAGTACAGCATGATACCACAGAGCATAATCTAACCTGACATAGTACGATGCAGCAAGTGATTATAAAGATCACAGACTTTATTCTGATGAAAAGTGCATGACTGCTTGACTGAAAATTTTAGTAGTTTATGTTTTGTTGATGAGGACCCAGATCATGATTTTCCTCTAAATGGCTGTACAGATGCCTGTAGCTTTTGTTTCTAGGCACGCTTCTGGGGGTCCATATCCCACCTCGAATAAACTTTCCGTCCTCAGCTGTTTTGAGAGCTGATATTGTGCAGTAACAACGGAGTGGGTACAGTGATCAGTGTTGGGCCCCTGCAAGCCCTTTAGTAGGGCTTTCTCCATGTGGAAGCTCTCGTATGCTTTACCTTTACGTATGTCAAAGTAGCTGAAGCATACAATGCACAGGCTTTGCAAAAGGGCTTCAAATAGTTAAGCAGCAGAAGAAATAGAGGGATTTAGATATCTTCTTAAAATGTCTTTTACTTTCCACGATTCAGATTCGTGCATGGCAGATTGCCTTATAGAGCTGTTTAATGTATCTCTAGTTAAAAGTACAAACAGTGTGATGCTACCTAGCAATGTTATCAAGTTATGCATCATCTTATTTGCACAGCTCACCATGTTAAAACTGGGACCTGTGAAGTGGTGGCGCTCCACAGATGTTGTAATAAGAACAAGATAGAAGAAAGGTCACAGACGGTGAAGTGCTCCTGCTTCCCTGGGCAGGTAGCAGGTACCACCCGGGCAGCTCCTTCTTGTGTTGATGGTGAGACTTCTTCTATTGCTTCCTTTTGCTATATTTTCCTAGGGGGACTTGCCACGTTTAGTCATCAGAGAGAACCCCTCTATTACGGTTAACAGTATTTAAAATATGAGTAGGAAGGCTTCTGCGTTTTGAAGGGCATGCCCGGGGTGAATGGGAGGAAGATAGGAAAAATAATTATTTGCTATTACTCTGTGGAAATGCTAGGCAAAATTATTAGATGCCAGTGAAGGAGACCTCTTGAGAAGCTAAATTTGATCCAACTAACAGAGTGCCCTCAGTGTTGTATCAAATTCACTTAATTAAAAGTGTTTATGCAAAATCTACATCAGCATATCATTTTCATATGCTGCAGACTTACTTTTTATATATTTGTTTTTACTGTAGAGAAAGAAACAAACCAATAGAACATAATCTTGGCTTATTTTAATCTTTTTATACCAACACTTTTCAGACAACTTGCTATTCACAGTATGGTATTAATGTTTTCCTTAAAATCTGCTAGGTTCTTATGTTTTATGTGGGAAAATACTAGCTCATTTTTCATATTTCTTTTTCTGAAAGAGGAGCAGGACTAATTCACCCTTTACCTGATCTCTTTACTGTTGATATGTTGTTGGCTGTCAGAGGAGCTGTGAATATGTCAACTTTGGGGAATAAATTTAATCAGCCTGTACCACACTGTACAGTAGTTGAGGCAAAATATACTAACTCAAAAGAAGAGACTTTGCCGAAAACTTTTAAATCTGACTGAGCAAGAAAAGATGACGATTGGAAAGGAATGCTGTAAAATTAGTTCCAGAAGTAGAGTAAAAAGAAAAAAAAAGTAGTAAAGAGATTACCTTGAATGCAAACAGCACCTTGTATAAATTGTGGCTTATTTTGTTATGAAGATGCTGAGCTGGCTGCAAATCACAGAGTAGATGCCAGTCAATATATTTCTAAGGTTCTCCTGGAAAACAGAGCAGATGATGCAACATAATAGCATGCTGAAGTATCCATTTCAAGAACAAGCAGATGTGTTTGTTTTCTTCTCTTGTAGCTTCAATAGTGGAGCAGAAATGGTGGTGCCATATGCAACCATGTCTTGAAGGGGAAGAATGTAAAGTTCTTCCAGATCGGAAGGGATGGAGCTGTTCCTCTGGGAATAAAGTGAAAACAACTAGGGTAGGTATGATACCAACCTCGCATGTTACCAACAGGTACAAAAAGCACACAGGAAATTGGGTGCACTCTGAAGACAACAGTTTAGAAGAATAAAGAATGTGGGAAGAGAGAGTCATACTGAGATTGGACTTCGTGGTCCTGCACACTTTTCTCAGCATACTTTGCAACTGCTTGATCATGGTAAGCAGTACGGCAGACGTTCTCAGGTGAGCAACAGAGACAGTAGAGTCGATCCCTTTTTCAGCTACCAGTAATAATCACATGTATTGCATTTTGGTATGTATTTCCCTCTGCAACCACTTGCACAATGCCTATACGCCCTGCTAAACTCTGTGTAGTATTCAAAGTGCACAAGACATTCATTTATAGGAAAGAAAACAAATGAATTTTGTCAGTAACATGGAACTACCACGTTTCTACACAGAAACTGATGAGCATGGTAAGTAAGCATTTAGTGTGTCGTTACCAAATGATCCTCTGGTTCTTTCTGTCTTGTACAGCTGAGATTTACTGCAAAATTTTGACTGAGTTTCAGTAAGTTCCTTTTTTCCGATTGACACTTTTTATATTATTGTTTCAAAATTAGATTAACAGAAGTTCACCTAACATTCATCATATACAGTGCCTGAAAATGAAGTCAACCTATTGTAATCTCAGCTTTCTAGTGGCTAACAGAAACAAAAGGATAACAAATTCCTCAAATAACTCTAAGCATTAATTACTCAGACTTCCTAAACCTACAGCTTTGGAATCTCTGCAGGGTCAATATAGTTATTCATCTACGTAGAACAGATTAAAATTCTGTCCTGAAGAAACACATGCATGTGTGCAAGCATAAAAACCTTCACCCCTATAGATCACCAGGCCTACACGATGACTGTTTTGCTCACAGATTTTTAATAATTGTTTGTGGTATTAGGCCATAACTGGCTAGTATAGTATTTACTCTGTGTAGATGTGATTGTGTGTCTATGTCATTTGAATGAAATCTTTGTGTAGACACTAAATCTGCGGTACACCCTGGTTGTAGTACAGTGCGGTGTGTACTGACTGAATTATTTTCCTTCTGTTTCACACAAAGCTCTGCATGTCTGAATTTCTTTATGTATGAGTTTTTAAAACATTTTGCCATTCTTTCAAGGAAGAATACTTCCTCAGTGTTTGATATGCCTTTCCACTCCGGAATCCTCTCTTGAATGTGTTTCTTTGAAGCTAACCTTGCTTGAATGCTGCCCACACCTAACTTTGAATATGCCAATGCAAATTAGATCATATGCATGTAAAATATGTGTATGTATAACATAGCCAAAAGGGATTAGGTAAAATTTAATAGTGATGGAGTAGAAAGAAAAAGAATTGTGGGTGAGTGTTTGGAAATGTTATTTTAGTGAATATTTTCTTTTCTTTTAATTTTCTTTCCCATTTCTTCTTGATAAATTGCTATCTTCCACTTACGTATAAACTGTCTCGTTTACATCCTGTGATCTCAGGGCTGGGATTTGTAGAGATAAATGTATAGCGCTACACACACAGTCCTGGCTACTGCTGCATTTATACGTGGTATACTATTAGCTTTAAAGCACACATGCCATCTTACGTTTAATGTTAGGGCTTAACAAGCAGTAATTAATAATGTGGGTCTGGATTACCCTACTATAGCAGAAGAGATCACAAAAAAAGATCTCAGTAAGAATCTCCTTGAAGAGATTTCGTCATCGATATATCTTTGTCAAAAGATATTGGATGAGATTATGAAGTTCTGCCTGCCTTTAGGAATCAGCAGAAACCCAGGGCTCTCATCCTCAGGGCTCATGCCTCTGTGGCACGACTGGTTCTTTATGGGATTCAGCCTCCTTCTCCTGTCCTCCATGGTGGCAATCCTCAGGACTCATTCCATGGCTTATCAGAAGAGCTGCTATGGAAAACCCAGTCCTTTGTTCTGTTCGCTGTCACATGCACTGATTCAGTACAGTGGTCACCATAATCTGCTTGCACTCTCACTGGAAGGAGAACACTCTATCTCCTGAAATTTCCTCTATTTATTCTGCCTGCTAGTTTGTTCAGTTACTATCTGTTGCCCCCTTCTTCCTTCAATTCGCACAAAGCTGCAAAGCTGTTTTGAGAAAATACCAAACTTTAATTCAAATTTCTGGCTGACAATTGGTCTCAGTCATTGGAACCAGGTGGTATGGGAATGAAGATGTGTCATTCTGGATGCAGGAGGCCGAGAATTTAATAGATATCATTCTGATGCTCAAAAAATTATACATTTCTGCTAGGAAGGTGAGTGATTCTTTGTGTTAAGAGAGCAGCTTATTATCAAAAAGCAAGTACTTTTCCCTAATATGTAGTGACTACGTTGTTTTTGTAGCTCCTCTTCTATTCCCCAAAGGCTACAAATAAAAGGAAGAATTCTAAAGCTCTCTGTGGTTTCACACACCCTTTTGAGACAAAAGATGAAGAAGTGTACAGGGAGTTAGTATTAAGAAATCATGAATAATATGCCTCTGATTATCAAATTAAATAACCCATATGTGATTTTCGTGTGTAACGTAAGAGCATAAAGAAACAAAGGGAATTGAACAGTTTTGGTGATTTCAGTGTACTGTAAAAAAATCCTTGTGAAAGCTTTCCTGAAAGGCCTAAAAAAGTATTAGCTCTATGTTCACCTCTAAACATTTCTGTAAGTTTGCCTTCATGTGTAGAGAAAGTAACCCAATTAACTTCCCAAGTGATGCCTTTTCTTCTACAAGATAGCAGATTTAAAAGCAGCAGCTACATTCCCACATCTGGAGCTATTCATAGTTGAGTATTAGGTCAGAGATAAAACCAAGTAATAGGAAGGAGGTATTTTATCATTTTTAATCACACTACTGTAGAGACTGATGATACCAACTTCTTGATACTTACAAAATCAGTCACTAAGCAAAAAGGATAGGTGAATAATGGGAGAAAACTAATTGATTTTTTAAAATGTGATCTACTTGAAGTTTTGCATTTTGTTCAGATGCAGGAA